GATAAAACCACAAGACACGACACTACACGACATGACACAGTACGACACTGGACACTAATAAATCCACAAGACACGACACTACACAGTACAACACTGATCACAACGCAATACGACATATAAACGATAAGACATTTTACAACACTGAAAAAGATAATGTTTCACGATTTACCTCGGTTGTCGAGTTCTGAAAGACTTTCAGGACGTACGTCAGATCAAACTATAAAACAGATAATATTTGTTTTATAATTTTATTATAACAGTCATAACACACTCTACAAAATTACTCGATTCTGATTGGACAAGAGGAGTACAATTGAATCCCAAATTGTACTCTGTAGAGTCCCAATTAAGTTGCTCAATTTGTCGAGGTTATTATCAACAAAAAAAGGCACAATCTTCTCGTACGATTCGGAATTCATAGATACTCGTGATGTTTTAAAAGTTCTCAAATTGAACTCGCCTAATTACAATTTTGAAAACTTTCAAAACATCAATCGTTCCTATAAGTTCCGAATTCAGAGTACGTGTATCGTGCGATTTCCTATACTAATTTTATTATTCCTAACGAGCAAATTAATGTCAATGTCAAAAACATTATTTCAATACAACGATTTATGACGAGTATAAATCGGATTTACAAACATGTACAACACTAAAAATGTTTGATTAAGGAAGCTCTGGGTAGTTTTGGTCTGGCACACCTAGCCGCATTGAAACGGCTACAACTTCTTCTTGAATAACTCGATCTGCAAGCGCTTTTCACACAATGTCAGGAAATGATTAAAGGTTTCAAAAATGATAAATTAGTTTAAAACGGCCTTTTCGTTATGACGTAATGATGATATTATAGAAATCGTTTACCGCTTATTTTCTCGAAAACTAGACCTAAACTTTCAAAGCGACTTGCACCAGTCGATAGTATTCATCAAGGCACCCAACATATTGCAATATGAAAAAAATGTATGAAAGCGTTTTCCAAATATTACGCGATGAATATTTTCATGGACTTTTACT